CGCTCTCGGACTTTACTGACGTCTTGGGCCCAAGACTCCTAAAAATAATAAGGAAGTAAAAAGCTTTAGATGTTGTGACACGCTATATAAAATTAAATGGAGAAGAGAGACCTACAGATGTGGTTCATTAAAACTCTCTCATCTGGCTATTTAACTGCCAGTATGTTTTACAGTACCTATACATTTTAGTTTCCTATGTGACATTTAAGAGAAGGAAAAGAAGTTCTTCACAGAAATGCATCTGTACAGACTGTAGGCCCACAAAATACACACTAGATCTGTAAATATATGCATGCACACAGTAAAAGATGCCCTCTGAGGGATATGGCTTAACTATAGAGTCTTCTCTCTTCTCAGGGCAACCTGAAAGTCACTTTAGCCTGGTAGAATAGGGAGAAAAAGAAAGTATCAGGTTCATACAGGAAATGTTGATCTGAGTTTCTGACAGTTATTTGCAACCTTGGATTTTAGCAGCACCTAGCCAATATTACGAACCTAAAAAGTAAAGAACTGGAACGCAGACAAAAAAAAAAAAAAAAAAAAAAATCAGTGAGCAATCTCAGAACCATTCCACTATATTCTATTGTGAATATTCATTATATACTATTGTGAATGTCTGTCCATAGAGGTTGGCCTATATTTCAAATTCTGATTTTTTTTTTCATGTCTATGCTAAATAGTATTATATACAACATTGAAGACAGCTGCAATCCCTAGTCCAGTCCTTATCTGCTTGCTGGTATGACTGGACTGTCCCCATTCAAGAAAAAAAAAAATCCCCTTGACTCAAACAGTAGCAGTCAGCCCTTTTTTTTTTTTTAAACATATATAAGAGCTGCTAAAACAGTGCCATGGCCAAGATACAAACCCAGATGCATCTGCGGTGACAGCTGTAACTAGGCCAAGATATTATCTTTGGCAAGTATGCAGTGTTTATTTTCAATTTGTTTATTTATCTAGATGACTAGATAGAGACCTGTTAAAACCTTACTTACAGTGTCCTCCTCTCTTTCTAATGCACCTTCAGAGTCTTTAAATGAATGAAAAATAACTCCTGGGACCCTCATTGTCAATGACTATGAAAAAAATCTTTCCAAGACCTGCTGCTGCAGTTGACATCAGTCATTCTCTATGACACACCACATTTCCTTTAAGTAGATAATTCTGAGAGACAACCTCAAGAGTTCAAAATTCCTATAACCTTCTCACCTGCTGCTCATGGAGCAGGAATCTCTGAAAGTCGTGGAGATGAACTGCGGAAGCATCTGGACGGTCAGTGTTTCTTTAAAAAAATAAAGAAGAAAATGGGAAAAAAAAAGAAAGAAAACAAAGCTAGAAAAATAACAGAGCATATGTCATCAAATGTTATAGGAGGAAGTGACAGGGTTTGTATTTTGGATTTATAGTATAATCCTGCTGCTGCCGCTAAAACCTTTTATAACTTCAGTGGAATTTAGATTAAAGTTGTAATATTGAATTATGTAATCACTGTATTCTGAGACCTTTAGATAAGGTCTCCTGGATCCCTGATCCATTTTTGATAGTGATTCATTGGGAAAACTACCAACTGTGTTTCCTGCTTTGTGAAAAAGCAACATTCACTTTACAAGGGTGTTGTTTACTTTAGCTAAGACATAGGGATATATTGTTATGTTAAATTATGGCAGAGCCACCCTTCCACAAGTAATTCCTTCCATGTTTTATTCAGATGATCTACAGTGACAAATCAAAACCTGAAAAAGGAGATCAGACGCAGTCAAGGTGATAGAAAGGAGCACATCTGCGTTCTCATTTGTAGGACACAAATGCTGCATCATCTGGTACTAATAAGATATTTATAAATCACCCACCTTGGGTAAATCTATGGGTTTAAGCTGATCAAATTAATATTCACATGAAATGATCAAAGCATAAGAAATAACATTGTGCACTCAAAGCAAATTTCTAAGCAACTCCCTAAATCTGTTGGCATAATATTAAAGCTTAAGTCATAGTCAATATGTGATCAATGACCTCCTCTTTCATGCTGTATACATCTTACTTAATTCTCAAGCCCACCAGGTAAAAACATCAGAAACTGTTTAGGTCAGCCCTGTGCTTGTATCCAGCCAAAGCCACTGCACCACATCACTCTCCAGATGGAAGATAAATTTCTCCATCAAATTCTCTCCACTAATAGTTCTGTGCAGCTCTTAGTTAAATCAAAAGGCAGGCAAATTTGCTTGTTGGTACCCACAGCATTCATATTATTAGGAAGTAAAAACAGCATTTATCAAATTATATCCAAGACTTGTTTCTATACTAAATTCACTTTTCTGAATGCACTAAGATGTATCTTTTTTTTCCCCCACTTATTAAAGCTTCAATACAAAAAACAATGATGTAATTAGAAAAAAAAATGGGGATATGTAAGCAGACAAAAATTATGGAGCACTGCAACCGTAAATACATGTGAAAAAATTAATACAAATGAAGAGTCTCACCCAAGAATGAACACAGAGGAATCCTTTTTGAATTCATCAAGAATCTTAAAAAGAAGAAAAACAACAAAAAGGAGAGTGGATAAATAATAAAGCAACATGCAATTCTCCATCTAACAACCACTATTGCTTTGGGAAGGAAATCAAATATAAATTTCTACTTAATAGAAGCTGTATGAAAGTTGGCAGCATACATTTTGAGTTAAATGGATAAGAAGAAACATACTGTAAAGGCTGGCAATTGCACTTCAGACCTTTCAATGCGAAAACCCGCAATTCTCAGGAAGAAACACCTTATATACACAATCAATCAAATTTGTTGCTTGATATCCCAAAAAAAATGGAAGTATTTCTCTTCTATCATATTTATTCATTTGAATATAAAGCCTGAATTGCTTCTGTTTGGATCAGCATAGTTATAGATGGCAGAAACTCATCGACCAGCCCATAAGCAGTTGTTGAGCAAACTGGGGAGTTTCCTTGAAAGGATCCACCAGGAGCGATAAGAGCTAAAGGAAGTCAGTTAGCCTCCCTATTCTGTTTTCTACTGTTAGGAAACTTTTTGCTCTGGCTAAGTAACTAGATTTTCATGAGGAAAAATAAAACCCAGTCAGCCAGCATAAAAAAAGCACTATTGTCAAAAGAAGCTTTATTTTAACCACTCCAAGTCCAATCAACAATGTACAAACGTCATCAATTAAGACATTTATGCAAGTAAATCCAAGTTAGGTGTTTTCATACCGTTCTAAAGGCTGCGAGATTTTCAGGATCACTAAATATATGCAGGTGCTACCAACTTCATGAATCATGGAACACACAGCGAACAGCAGCCAGGCAGTTACCCATATAAATCAGTGAAATGTAATTCTACTGCATTTATGCAGGACTCCCTAAAGCTTGTCATGCTGTGGACTCATCACTGCTTATCTCTAAGCACAGGACACGACGACAGCAGGAGCTATTATCTGATGGTCAAGATGCGTTCTAGCACCATTTGCAGAATATGTGGCACGAGACTAATGCAAGCACGGAAAAATACGGCTTCTAGCAGTAAATGATAACCAGATCTAATGCAAAGACACCATATACTGAACAAACTCACAAGAAAAGCTTTTCCTAGAAACTCCATCTCACTTGTGCATCTTTCTACTACCAACACGAGAAGCAACGTCCTAAATCAGTTACTGATGAGTCACTGTTACCTATATATCAAGTACAGTAACATGAGAAAAGCTCTTTTTATGTTGCAATAGGAAAAAAACACAATGAAAAAAAAAAATCAGTATTTACTCTTCACTTTCACCAACCGGTTAGAAAGTAGGACTCTTTTTGAAAAAGCTTACCGATTTCTGTTGTTCAAACATGATTTTCTTGTAGAACAAATGAAGTTGTTCAAAACTAAGTTCTTCCTTGTGAGCACCTATTTCCTGTGAAAGAAAGTAACATCCAGTGATTAGAATTCCCTGCATTGTGTTTGTATAGCAAACAAGTTCCAAGTGCAACCCTCTCGCACATTCTGTTCTACTTTATTTTTTAAGAATATGAACACATGAGCAGATTCTTAGTTTGTAACATATCATTCCTAGACCACATCTCTGGTCCTATATTTTACATTTTGTGTCTATTTCCACTAAGTTACTGAAAGTAAAACGGTATCTCAGTGATTGTTAGCTGGAGCAACAAAAGCAAGAGCGTATGCTTTAAGGGTGGAGGGCTGGAAGCAGGAAAGTAGGAAAAGGTGGGGATCTTTATAATTCCTGTAGGAATGAAAAAGACCTTTGGAATATTACCATAAGTGAGAGGGGAAAGTTATTAGTTTGTTCATGTTGCAAAATAATTCTTATTCTTATTTGATAATGCTTATCTTGAACGATTTCCTATGCATCTGCACAGTTAGTAACAGCACAGATCCAAACCCAATTTTGGTTTTAGGGAACATTATAATGAGAAGTAAGAACATTTAATTCTCTATTTTCTTAAGGTCATAGTTACACACAAAACCAAATTTGTAAGTTAAAATCATGTAGTTTATATACATTTAGCTGTACTGAAACAAAAATTCAGGCAGTATGCTGAGCAGAAGTAACAACACCTATGAGATAATACCAAAGAGCTAACATGTAATTACCGCAAATTTATCCTTCAAGAACTTCATGCTGCTCACTTTGAAATTTACTTGGGGAAGGACAGTTTTCAGCTCTCTAAGACTGATACTGAAAAACAAGAGCAAAAAAACCCAACAGTTGCACCCAGTGCACCACTAGTATATTTTTTATCAACATGAAAAAGCGACTATTGAAACATTTTGGGTACTATTCATCTCACATTTCTACATTAACTATTGATCAGATCCAGATAATCAACTCAAATACAATGTTTAAATGTGGTGAGATGAATTGCAGCCTTTCATCCACTGCTTCAATCCCACTGCAAAAGTAATCTAGACAGAGAAAACATTTTACGAACAGTATTCAAAAAAGATGAGATGAAACAGAAAATTAAAAGTTCAAGTTTTCTCCACCTTTATAACCTTTACCTCCAGCTGTTACTCACCTGGATGCTGAAGCTGATGGTCAGCAGCAAGAGAATTCTGCAATAGCTGAACATGACCCCATCTTCCTTACACCACCAAGACTCCCCAGTGAGAACTACCTTCAAGACCTGTTTACCTGCTTATGAACCTTTTCATAGTTTCTGAATATCCATTGGTATAAAAGGATCAGCAGAACAACACTGACTTCCAAAAAAACCAATTTTTTCAAATGACAGCAGAACCTTTCAAATAAGACATATATTTCAAACTTGAAGCCACACATTGCTTATATACAGCAAGTTTTTAGGCAATTCTTAGACACAAAGCTAAATGTTTTAATTATTGCAACACCTGGCCACACTGTACAAAGCCTACTTGTGTATGCCGACTTCTTTTGCTGGTGCAAGGGCTTATAATAGAAACAAAGAGAGTTCATTTCATAATTGTGAATATAGCTCATTTTGCAAAATGCAATTTCCTTCACATCTTCCTGTTCTCTCATCAACCTCAGATTTTATTTCCAGTCTCCTAGATGCTACTTTTATAGCCTTCTTTAGTGCAACTTCAGAGTTCAATTCTTAGTCACAGTTCTTAGTGCACTTATGCTCGAAATATGAACATGTGGTAGAAGAGGGCTATCATAACTCTCTTTGGATAGAGAGAGGGTTTATTTCTAAAGGAGCTGGGTGCCCAGATACTTCAAATAAGTCATTGCTTTGATCATAACACTACAGCTGAGCCAATCTAATAGCTAAAAGCAACACCACTCTCCATACTCCATGTCCTCTGCCCTGCCGCCCTTGTCCTCCCCACCAGTTTCCATATGCCCAGCTCCGATCCTCATCGGACCTTTACTGATTCAACCTGCTAATCTGGCAGAAAACTATCTGGGAAAAAAAAAAAAGGAATTTTCTACTGACTTTATGAACTGAATCAGCCCAAATTGCATCCAGATCAACATTAGAGATAGAATAAGGGAAGTGGCAAGAATTCCTGGTTACAAGAAAGTAAAAATAGCAGATGAGAAAGGAAAGAGCTAGACCATGACCACTCAGCTGCTGGTGCAGCAACTGAGCCATCTGCAATAGCTCCACTTCAGTGGCCTGCTGTACTAGTGGTCATTGGCATAGGAAAGAATGGAAGCAAGGCCTTATGTTCTGGACACAGATTCTTGGACTCTGGGTATCTGCTGCTGTGAGCTCTCATTGAGAAAAACACAGCTTGGAGGTGGGACATTAAAAAAATAAAGAGAATAAAAATATGTGGCAGAAAAGAGAAACACAAAAAAGATAAGGGAACAGAAGCATGGCATTATCAGCTGCTTCTGTCAATGCCCACAAATCATCTAAACAATACCAAAGTACCCAAGAAAACCAGGATCTGCCTTGACCTACAGTGAATCAATAAGCCATTAACTCTGTGCAAACATAGGGCCAGAAGAAGTCACTTAAGAGGGAAAAAAAGAGTAGTAATTAGCGCCTAAACCAAAGTCATGCTTTTATTTTAGAAACTGTCCATGCAAGCAGCTGCCCTGTGAGATATTCTCACCCCCATTGTGTAGAGGGAGAAAGAGGCAAAGCAAGAAGTACCTTAGCCAAAATCCATGCCAGAGCCAGATTAGAACTCAGGAAATTCCTGGCTTTCCTCCCTGTCGCCAGACCTCTGGAAAAACACTTATTTTGGGAGCAAAAACGAACCCTCATTTGTGCACTAAGCATTGAGTACAAGCAATTTCCTCTAGCCAGACAAGCACAAGCTAAAACAAAGAGCTGGGACATCATTATCACTGGCAAAAGCTCAACCAGTGAAACACCAGCCTGGAAGCCTAACCTTTACAATTAACCTTCCTAGAAACTGCAACACTAAACACAATGAAACTTGGTTTGAACTCCTTGCCTGAAATTTCCTAAGGGTGTAAATCATCTAGCAAGAAAATGAAAAACTGCCTTCTCCACCGTGCAAGTCTCCTTGATGATGAGCAGACAACCTTGTAGTGATGGAACAACCTGAGGCATTAAATAAAACCTCCCCAGCAGACATATACTGTCAGATGCTGCTCCTCTACCCTAATATTTCTTTTCTGCTTCATGATGCCCTGCACCCATTGCAGGATTAGCCTTTTCAAAACCCTCAGGAGGTGTTAAAGGCAGGGGGTGTTTTGTCCTTTCCCATTCTGGCTGTTCCTGAAGTTGTCTCAGCTGGTACTAAGGCAGCTGCACGACACCAGAGCTTTCTGGCAGAATGGTGTTATTTCCTGCCTAACAGGGTCTCACACAATGAAACACCACACTTTATTTTGCATTTAGGAAAAGGCTTAAATAAGAAGAAATGCAAGTTCTTCTACCCGCTTAAGTACACCTTAGAAAAACAGAATGCTACAGAAAAAGGTCAAAGCCATAGTAAGGTTTTATATATCTGTATGGCAGAGGAGGAGTTAACATTCTTCACAGTGTCCCACAACTTCTGGCAACTCTAATGAGAAGTGTGCCACTGAATTCATTAAAATGTCTCTGTGCTGTTCAAACGCTACAAAAGGACTTCACACACAGGAAGCACAAGGAGAGCTGCAACACAATGAGACTTTTTCACACGGGGAGCAGCAAGGCATAGGCGACTCCCTGGCTTCGGTCTCTCAGAGCACGTGTCCAAGGGACGACCCATACAGCGAGGCCAACTGCACAAAATTACACATATCCAAGCAGAACCTCAGAAAATGGTTTTGTCCTTATTCCAAACCATTAATGTGGCTTCCTCCTCTTTCTGTCCTCAGGAGATGCCTTCTGCTTCCCACTGTTAAAACAACTCTCTCACACTGTGCTAACCCGTCACACCAATAGTCCTCTTTCTCTCCAGTAATATCCTCAGGTATCTAACCCTGTAACTGGGTATGTCTGGAGTAGGTAGTGCAACCAGTTTCAATCTAGATGCCACATCGATTAGTAACATCAGGCTAGCCCCACCAGGCTGTGAGCAGGGAAAGCCACCCAATCTGATACCTGATTGTGTGTGAACAAGCTTTGAAAAGCTGGCTTGGACTTATCTCACCTAGACTGCAGCTGCTCCAGCATGAACGTGCCTCAGGAAGACGTCATGGCATAGCTGCACAGGAAAACTAACTGCACATAACACTCCACTGCTGGGCTCTCATTTATAAAAGGGCAAAGACATCTGTAAACCTGGCAGACTGCAACCTAGCAGAGCCCCACGGCTGAGCTGAAGCATTGGGGTGACAGCACCGTAAGGCAATCGCTTTTCCATATGCAGGCAGGGTGATTTTAGACTAGAAAGCATAATGGTTTATTTTTCATCATTTCCTACCTCACTATATCACATATGAACATGAGTAAGCATTATGCACCTAGTGTGTCGGTCAAAAGGTGACAAATAATTTGTCAAAGCAGTAGCAAATACAATTTTCAGAGAGTTCTCATCTTTTTCTTCTTGGTCAAAGTACTCTTTTTCTTTCATTTTCTGTTACATTCTGCAATGAGAAGTTCACTAAAAATAAACTGAATTTGAAGAGGGAGAGCTTCTTACCTATTTCTTCTAGTTTGATCAACAGAATAGATCTGCTTTCTCAGCCAGCTTGGGGAAAAAAAGGGAAAAAAATAATCTGAGAATTAGACAGAAACAAAGGAATATCAAAATCCAGAGACAAAATTCAACAAAAATATTTAAAAGCTAGAAAATATATGCTTTTTAATAAAGCAAAAACACTTACAACATCAAAGCATTCGGCCTTTTTTAACACTACTTATGAATAAATATTTTTCTGCTGTGTACTGCTGCATTTTCAAGCCATGTAACACAGGAAGAGGAAAGGACACAAAAGAATGAACACCTAAAATCTACAAAAATCTAAAGTGGATAGAATGGGCCAAAACTTTGGCTAATGTAAACCAGAATAACTCCATCAAGTCAATGATTTATGTCAGCTTAGGCTGTTGGCTCAAAGGTCTCTTAGATGCATAAAAGTAAAAATCTGGGGGAAGTCTGGGGGTTGGAGAGGAAGAGGGAATTTTTAGAAGAACAGAGAGTCCTTAATAAAAATCCTAATTAGAATTACTGTCAGCTTCAGGTGCACAGCAAAATCACCTTAGCAATATTTAAAATAAATATCTAAACGCACACAATTTTGGTCTAAATGATGATCAAAACATGCCATTAGCAAGTTTATATTCTAAGGGAGCGCTTTGTCCACTGCACAAATGTAGGTACCTTTGGAATACAGCACTTCATGCTGCAATATTATATAACACATAAAGGCAGGAAGTGAAGAAGGCAGAAGTAGTACTTTTTCCTCCCTGACCAGAACTGCAGACAGGTAAAGACAGCATCAATATCAAAGCTACAATTTGGACAGTTAGCAAGAAATGACAGGGTATTTCCTCACAGCAGGTTACAGCAGTGACTTCCTACAAGAAAAAATGTCAACAGTGCCAATCGATAATTGAGTATAGAGACTGCATTAAAAGCTTTTTGCAAAATTGGAATTCAGAGCATGAGCAGTTTTGCGTGTGAGTGGTTTTGAAAGCAACATCCTCTGAAGCACTAAGGTTGCTGCTTCACCATCATACACCGGCTGCTGAAAATTAAGCTTCAAAATGCTTATTTTCAGCCTAGCTCCTGCAGTCAATGGACCACACTGCCATCTGATACAACAGTGCCAATAAAAAGGAGAATTGCAGAAGTGCACCTGGGAATTACAGAGAAGCAAGAGCTCCATTATGGACTTCTCCCAGCTGTCTATTGTGACAGCATTAGGCATATGAATTTTCCAGTAAGTCAACATACACATAGATCAAATACTCTTGTGATCTCATTAAGAGATAGACTTTTTAAAAGGGTGCAAAGAACAGTGCTGTTAAGCCCAGTGGTGTAACAGAGCAATTCCACAATGGTTACAGAGCAAAATGGCAAGCTTTCTGTATCATACACTAACTGAAGAGCAGTTGTTTTTATTGTAATTGGCAAGCACTCCTTCTTCCATCTTAAAAATTGCTTTAGGTTTTCCACATCCAATTCCAAAAAAAATCGGATGTCACAAAGTGAAAGAATGTCCACATACCTCTCCGTGATTGCCGGTGTGGAAGCACACATGACCTCTTGATACAAGATATTCAAGCCACAAAGCCATTTATCAGCATCATCTTTAGAATCAGCTGGGGAAAAAAATAATAAAAGTGTTGTAAAAAACATCAATGCAAAAATAAGACATAATTTGCTGTGTGTAGATAAACCCAAGCATAGAGAGCTGCAGGTTAACCTTTCTTTCTGATAAATATCTTTGCACAGGCTTCACGCTGCCTATCTAGAACTAACGTAAATGTTGTAAATTTGGGGTTGTGAGAGTTAAACCTGAAAGCTATGTCAAAAAATACCTCCTTTTAAATTTCTGCTTATCAGAGTAGCTGAATTTCAATATGAAACTACTACTAAGCTCACGTAATAACCCATTAAAACTTTTTCTTCCCGCTTATCTTTTGTCTCCAAAATGGCCAATGCCCAGAGACCTAGACCTATAGCAACTAGAAGAATGCAGACAGGAGAACTAAGTATGTTGTATTCTAACATCAGATCATAATATTCCAAGAAACCTACAATAAAATTTTAAAGCTCTTGATGGACATTTACAAGCTCCTGCCCGTCATAATCATACCTCCAAACACAGGCTGTCCCAGACTAGATTTAGGCAAGAAGAACAGAGGAGGGCAAGTTATGAAATTAATATAGTTGATTTACAGCACATTCTAATAGAAGGTAAGTTTAGAAAGGTCTAAAACATTCCTACCCAGCTGTGACACTGTAGGGTTGGAAGGAAGGCGTACCTGAAAACTAAACTGGTTTATGACTGTCCTGGTTTGTTTTAAATTTAGTTTGTCCTTACATTTCCCAAATCAGAAGCACCTTCTGCATAATTTACCATGATCGAATTTGGTAACGCTTCAGCTCAGAAGCAAGGAGATGCACTGCACCCTGGCAACAGCCCTCTCTGGGGAATACGGGCTAAGGCCAAAACCAGGGTTTTCCACCCTTTCATGAATCCATATCTTTAGCATGCCGGTTCTGAAACTCATCAACTAAACCAGTTCTGAAAAATTATTTTCACACAGGAGCTCTAAGCTGGGCGAGTCCTTTAACTGACTTCAAAGACAAACAGTCTCTGTAAAGATGAAGATTACATTTTATTGAAATACACTTTAAAACAATGCCATATTGCCCCAAGGATGAAGCTAGCGGCTAGCCTCAAATCCCCATGGAAAAGTTTTTCAATTAGTTACACGCTCGGAAAGAACACCCACCCCCAGTGCCAAACCAGTTTTTTCCCAGGCCAATTCAGCCTCTTATGAAAACTAGCATTCCCTTCGAAGTAACAATTACTTTATATTGTTTTAAGAAACCATGACAAAGTGCTTTAAACAAGGAAAAGGATTTCCCCTTTAATTGAAAACTCTATCAGTCACGCTGTTATGCAGTTCAGCATTATGGCAACGTACCTCCTGGTACCAAATGTTTTCAAAGCACTGGCAGGGACCTGTTTTTCAGAATTGCCTGGGGTAATGGGAGAGGGCAGAGGAAACCAACCTAAGGTACCTGGCATAGCTACATTTAAAGCACAGCTGCTTATTCAAAATTTTCACAGACTTCATCCAACAAGGGTAAACCTGATCTGAAGCTAAAAATCTCCTCTATAGGATTATATTGTCACAAACAGTCTTTAACTTCCAGTGCATCAGGCTGTAAAAATAGGCTTCCAGTCCTGCAATCTATAAGCAATTAATTCTCACACACTGATGAAACCTTTGCTATAAGTACATCACTTCTACTTGAAAAGAAAGAAAAAAAAGTGTCTATTACTAGTGTTAGAAAGCCTATAAAGCACTCCTCTGTTAAATAGGTCACCAGAAGCAACGTATTGAGAGGAATGTATACTAAGAGACTCCTTATTGCCATTTAAATAGCAGCTCTCTTCTAGTGTGTGCCATGCATCTACCCTCTTAGACACGCAGCAGTGCTGCTCTGCAGAGTGTAAGTGACTGCAACAACCAAACCACTTACTGCACATTTAGGTTACACAGCTGTTCTGTTTGGAACAAGGCTGGAAAACTCTTATAAAGCTGTATTTAAAAGCAGAACATTCAGAATGCAGCAGTACATACACACTCATGACTGGCTTAGTAAAAGGTGTCCCTCAGCTTTTAACTATCTGGTGTGCTGTTGAACTGCAGATGTTAACACACTAGTGCACTTTGCACTACTTTTCCATTAATGTATTTGATTCCAGAGTTCAGTAGTTAAGTTTAAAGAAGAAATAAAGAAAAAAAGTACCTGCTAAACTTAAGGTGTTGAGGACAAACTGGGTACCATAAAAAATAGTAAAGCAGTGTTGTTCTTTTTGCTTTGCTTTGCAACGCTCAAAGTCTTTTGAGTTCTTTCCTGGGCGAATTTCCTTTATTTCCATCAGATCCACTGAAAGAAAACAACATTAGTTCAGTTAATACAAGTACAGTTACATTCCAGCTCAGCCTGAAACAACAAGAACATCTCGGAACATATAGAAATAACTTATAGATGGGTTTTGGACAGGAAATGTGAATTCCATTGGTCTGCAATCCAAGTGTTCTCTGACAAAGCTCTAAATGTACTACTAACTGAAAGACAACAACAGAGAAGGACCAAGAGAAGAAAAAAGTATCTCGTCATATTTTTGTCATCTCATTATCATTGACTATCCACCAACAAAGGTTATATATATAATCTTGGGAGGTTACGTGGTTTAACAGATGACATTTACTCAAGCAAGAAATTTCCAACTGATGTGCCCACTGTTTAGAGACAAAAAAGATGCAACACATAATTTTTAGGTGCATAAAGTTAGATTTTCTATTTTAGCTAGCCAGCTAGCCTCCCAGTACTGCCATCGGTATATGTAAAAAGAATATTTAAGTATCTTAAGCACCTTTCAGATTCCAAAGAGAGAATCCAGCTTCACACTTAAAACAATTTTCAGCCTTCTCCTGGTCAACTCCAAACAGATCTTTATCTTTTGCATAGCAGAATGGGAACATTGTGCTAGCACATATTTTCTTAAGTCAGTTCCTTTTTTATCAAACCCTTGCTATATGGCCTGCATAATATCAGTAAGGCAGCACTGAAATAGAAATATGTGCATTCTCAAGATAAGATACTTATTAGAAAACTGAGGAAGTGGTTTTGTTCTGCCTGTGGACCAGACAAATACACAGTTCTTCCCACTTCTGGACAATCTTGAATTATGAGCAACAGGAGGAAGAGCAAAGAAAAACATTTCATGGCTGCTCACAAAATGTGTTTATCAGGCTAACAAGACACAAAGAGGCTGAGGGTTTTTGTTCATGTATTTAACATCTCTGCAATATAAAAAAAAACATGGTTTAAATGAGCACATCATTGCTAACAGAACACACTTAATGCATAATGCAAAACCAGCAAGACTCCTAAGGGAGGAGAAGATGAGTGCTACTTAAACCTGAGCTCTGTGGTTTGTTGTATTTCTATGGTAAATTTGAAAGGTAGAGAGGGAAAGGCAACGAGTCTCATCAACAAAGATCTAGATAACGAAACAGTAATTCATCTAGGAATTTCTTATTCCTTGCAAAGTATTCTAGGCCAAACTTTCCATTGGGCACTTTTTAACCCAGCCATTAACCCAACCTCCCATAGGAAAGTTGGACATTAGTGGTCAACCTGAACTTTACTGCATGCACTGTAGAAATACAAAAAAAAAGATGATTGTAGCACACAAACATGTTAATTAAGCTTACTTAATTAAGCTTTCCTGGTATAATTTCCTTCAAGGTAAAGCACCTAATGTCTCAACCTCAGTGTCCCCATCCATCAGAAGAACATCTTCTACAATCTGCATATCTGGATGGCTAAAGTTGGGTCCCTAAATTTAGATGCAAGCTCCTGAATTATATATATGGCATGATTTTCCACAATCAAAAGCTCCCAATCATGGCCTGAATCCTCTAACAATCAGTCTCTGTAGCTGCGTGTCTAAGTATCTACCCCAAAATGCCTGCATCTAAAAAAGATGTTTAACCCCACCTCACCTCAACTATTTCACATGAGTACCACCAGAGACAAAGCAGGATGCAGAGCTAGAAAGTAAATATACGGAGAGAGGA